TGTATGTAAATAAGAGTTATGAAGTGTGAAATGTTTATGAATGTATTTTCGTCTGGGAAAATAAATCCCGGAGCTGCTAGAGAATAGAGTTGAGTTCTTCGTTTTCGATGGGGATGATGAATGAAGATGATTGTGAGAATAAACCCGCAGGAGAAAAGAACTCCGTTGGGGAATAAACTGGTGAAGATATTACTCTGCGGGGAATTACTATGTGGGAAGTGATGCTTTGCTGAGATTTTAACGATAACTCTGCTGGGGATTCCGTTGATAAGCTCTGTTGGGGATTTTGATGATGAACTCCGCTGGGGATAGAAAGAACTTCGCTGGGGATGATCTTCCAGTTGCAACTTGCTGAGGATAACCCAGTTAGACTCTTGTGGGGATAACCTCTGAATTTGGCTGAGGAGATGCATTTGTATTCTGTAGGGGACAAGCTTCCAGAATCTACTGGGTAAGATGATTCAATTCTCTATTGGGGAAACTTTTTTAGACTGCGCTGGGGAAATGGCTCCACTGAGGGTGTCTTGTATTCCGCCGGGGAACATTCTTATATTTCGTTGAGGAATATTAAGACTGCCGGGGATACTCTTATGCTTGCTGGGGAATATCCTTATACTCCACTAGGGAATACTAAGACCTTCTGGGGATACCCAACCTTTTTAGGGCTGATGGTAGACCAACTCTGCTTGGGGAGAGTATTGCTGATTCGTTCATAGTTGTAAGTCTCAGCTGAAAGAGCTATCATCATTGTTTTACTCTGTAGGGAGTGAAAGTATCTTAGCCCTATTCTTCAGCTGAATATATATCTTGGTACCTGGTGGACAGAGTAACTTGTACAGTTCGGATGATTCTTATTTGCCCCTGTTTTTGTGGGAGAATGTGCCTGCGGAGGCCCTATGGATCGAGTATTATCCCAACCTATGAGGTGCTTGGTCATTGCCGATTGAAGTGACAAATCTTCTTCTGGTAGGCAAGTGACGAGATGACGGGACATAGTTGAAACAACCGGCTGAAAATCATCAAAACAATGAAGTCGCCATCGAACGTCTTTTATCCCACATGTAGGGAAAGGTAAACATCGAGAAAACCTGATGAGGATGAAATCAAGGTCGAACGACCAAGAGATAAGGGTAAGGGAGTCTGTTACGCGAGGGGAAGATATTAGCACCCCACACGCCCGTAGTACTCTATGGTATCCACTCTTGTTGTCTATCTTACGGGTGTGTTTAATCTATGCTTACGGTTTATTATCGCTACTGAAGGGAAAGTGCATGCAAAAGAAAGGGGAAAAGAGTGTAGGGAAAATTAAAAGTTGTGCTCGCTTGGGCCCTACCCCGATGCCTACGTATCCCTTTTAAGGAATCAGAGCAGCTGTAGTTCGGCTTATATGTTTTTGTTGGTTTGTGTTTTTATGAACAGTATTGATTTCGCCTTCTGCCGCAACTCGACCTTTGGAGACTTACGTGTCAGCACAGAAGTGAATTAACATGCTCTCTTGAAAAGTTTGGAAAGAAATATGCCTGGACGCACAAAATATTTTTATGTTTGTTGGTGTTTTTCGCTTGTAGAGAATAACTAGTTAATCTCAAGGGAGAGATTTTAGCCATGTTTCTACTTATTCATGAAATGAGTCTTTGAGACTTGAATCATACCAAATCTTAGAACAAGAGAATAATGAGGTCGAGAAGAAACCCGCTCATCATCTCTCAAACTTAGCCAAGACATGGTTCTTGTCAGTAAATTTTTATGTATTTTTGAAGTTTGTAAAAAAAAGTTTTAGTTTTAGATACGTATGCAAAAAGGGAAAGAAACGTTATAGGGAGACTAGCCTAAACCTGATTCTATCACACTTCATATGATCTATGGGAAAGGATAAATGCGAGGTAAAAATAGAAAGAAAGTATACCAAACGGATACTAGCCCGTAGAGCAAAGCAGAAAAAGCAAAGATACTTGATGTTCTTGCGAGCTGCTAGCACCAACAAAGAAAAGAGTCAGAAACCCCATTACTGAAGCATCTTTTAAGGTGAAAATGAATCACAATCGACATCTCGAACATATCCATATAAAAACCTGCATAAGACTCGAATCTTGACGAGCAAAGTGAATTACTAGTTTCGAGTAACCGAATAATCATGAATTAATTCACAAAGGCAAAATAATAAAAAGAATATAATAAGTTCTCCTCTTTTCTTTTCTTTTTTTGATTTAACCATTTGAAATAACAATTAAATAAATGAATAATAATAAAAGGAGAAAAAGAAATAAAAGAATTCCAAAACGAAGACGTTTACTGTAAACGACCCCTTCCAGCTCCTTTACGCAGAAAGCCTTTCTTCTACATGTCGACAACAACAATGGCGATGCCGCCATGACTCCACCCCTTCTCCCCTGTTCCGATTCAATTTTCTTGCTAACACCACCTAACGTCTCCCTCTGAATTCGATTCCTTTGCTTGCTTTCGTCAATTTCTCTTCCTCTATTCCGAATCTAACAACGAAAATTAAGCTCTACATTTCTTCCGATCAAGATTACATGGTGGATTTATCGTTCGCCGCATTTTACCCTTCGCGGTTGTGGTACAGACCAAGCAAAAAAAAGTCGTAAAAAGAAGAAGATTGAGGATTACCTATTGAAGGCACGTTGGTAGCGCTTCAGAAATCTAGAGGTGAAGTAATACAGTTATTGTCCTTCTTGATATTGTCTGCTTCGTCTTGATTCTCTCCTCACTGTCTTCACTTTTTCTTTGGTCTGGAAGTTGCGTGCGTTATCGATAGGAGAAGAGCGGAAATGATGACAATTATGAAGATTATCGCAAGTTGAGAAAAATGAACTTTGTATGACGAATCAGAGAGAAGTGAAGCTTTGAGAACTAACTGAAGGTCGAACAATGGAGAGTGGAGGTGAAGACGGAGTTTAGAGAGGGGAAATTAAAGATTATGAAAGTTCATAAAAATTGAGAGTGAATGATGGAGAGGGAAGAAGTTGTTTTGAAGCTGATACAATGATGAAGTTCTGAAATTGGAAAAGAGAGAGTGACCTCGTCCCCTCAAACTTGGAGGGGGTTTGGATTATATAGGTAGTTGAGGGAGGAAACGGTTATGTGGGAATCAATCTGAACCATTGATTTGGATAGAGTTTGTTAGGGATTGAAGGGTGAGATTGAGAGTTGGTTACAAGGTGGTTATGCTAGTTGGGAATTCTGTTTGGAGGTAGTTAGAGAGTTATAAAGTTGTTAGGAGGAAATTGATGAGCTGTTAATTAATCTTCTGTTTCCCATTCTTCAAGCTTCTGTCCTACAAACAATTCCTTCAGCAGCCAGCTGCTTTAACAAAGGAACATCCAAAAATGGCATATTAGGATACCATTTGTCAGTTAATTCAACTTGTACCGACTCTTTATTCTGATTAGATAAATTGCCGTTTTGAAGTTTCAGCCTTCCCACCAAGCTTAGTCTTGTGTTGATTGCTAGCGTTTGTATTAATGTGCAGCTCAGTTTTAAACTTACCCTTGTCAGTATAATGGGCATCTCTTCCATATTTGAATCATTCGGGTTATCAAACTGGGTTTGGCTGGTTGGGTCTAGTTGAATGCACCGAATACATGGCCCAGAAAATGGGTTGATAATAAACATTCAGTTTCTCAATAAACTTCTTTCCCATTTGATTGAGGAAGATATCTCAACATCTAGAGGGGACAAACAAGCTGACTCTAATTTCTTTCCACCAAGCACATTTGCAACAATCACCAACAGAGTTTGGCAAGCATGATATTCTGCCATGTTTTCTGTACTAGTGCCAGTGAACTCCAGTGATTGATCCTTCCTTGGCTGGTAAAATGACCATCTCCAATCTGGATTAGCTTCAAGAGGGCATCGTGCCCTTAAAGAGTTTGATGATATGATAGTATCGTAGTCTTGCAATAAAATGGTTCTTCCCACTTGTAAATTAGAGGCACCAAAAGTTAGGAGACATAGAGCAGATACAACTGATGGTAGAAGTTCCTGATTTATACCAGGAAGTAGTTGGAGATAGAAAATTGTTGAAGCAAGCAACTCCTCACAGCCAATATTAATATCATGTCTTTGTCCTGAAGTATTTTCTACATGCACCAGTAAAGAATGCAGGGATTCTAGCTTATGTGTTTCTGTAAACCCTGAATATATATCATTGGATTTTTGATGAAGCTTCCCATTGATTACTGATGCTGTTAACCAACGCATAAATTTTGACACTAAGGAGTCATCACGAGACTCTTCTCCTAGTTCTTTTTTTTTTGACAAAAATGTGAGACTCGTTAGACCTCAACCTTTGTGAAGAATCTCACGCTAACGCAGTTGTAATTGCCCAAATAATAAAATTACGAAGCCTTTCCTGATCCATTAAGAAAATGGAAATAGGAGGTGCGCTCATAAGTATGGCTTCAAGAGCAAAATCCGGGTAAATGCCTTTTGTAGCTTGATTACACACACTGCCAGCTTGGTATATCTGGTATAAACCCTCTATTGATAAGGTGAAACGTGGCTGACATATAACGGGGAAGAGTTCATGTCTTCCACAAAGTTCTGATCCAGAAGAACTCCTCAGCACCAGTAGCATCAGAAGTATACCGCTCAAAAAGAGCACCTTTAAGATCATACTGGCGTACAATATTTCGATTGTAGGTAAGATTTTTTTCACCATGAGGTCATGTTGTTTAACCTCTTTTCCACTTTTAATGTGTCTTCTAGTAACCTGATATATCCCCAAGACTGTTGCTAGACAGGTTTGGCTCCCAGACTCAAATGACTCTCTCATGTGTTTGAAATATAGAGAAGAGAATCCCAAAAATGCTTCAAGTTCCGTCTTCTTGATTTCCTTTACGATGAAACTCTCATCAAGTGTTTTGGCAAAAAAAGACTTGCTTTTTCCACCTTTGGCATCCCAATTCATACAACGGCTTAAAGAAGTAATATAATCAAGCTCAGATGGGCAACAACAATTTCTAAGTGCACGGAACTGCTTATAATAATGACAAAGCACAGAATATTTTTCCCTCCCAAGTGATTTTTGCATAACCCAGATGAACTTCTTTGCTATGGTCTTCTGTAGCACGAGATGATCGTGACTCTTCTGAAGACACGCTTCCAGTAGAATGCACAGAATCTGAATCTAGAGAGTCGTGCAAAGAATCTGTAGATTTTGAAGTTATCCCAATTTTTTTCACATCACCATCAATTTTCGACATCTCAGATGAGTCTTTCAACAAGGACAGTGCACAAGCAATTATGCTTGATGGTTCACCCTCAAAGTCAAACACGACATGATTGTCTGTCTTGAGAGGAATGTGCAACCTTGGACCTTCCTCAGTGGTGAATTGATTTGCTGTGGGCGCGTGTTCGGAAATAGAGCTGCAAAGATATTAAAATTTTGGAAAGAAACTTTTCTGAAATTCCCTTATGCCTATCTTCCGAATATCAGAAAATGGCTTCCATAACCCTTTATCTGAATCTTGCAATATGGAAACAGGTGAATGCAGTGAAGCACTCTGGTTTAACACCTTTGAATCAACGATTGGACGAACAGGTTTAATATTTATAGCAACTGGAAATTTTTGATGTACTTGAAGATGGTCATTTGCCGAAGGAAACTGAGTGGAAACATTTGAACTCGATTCCAACTTTGGGTCAGAATACCTCTTTGATCCCAAACCATCAACAGTTTGTATTTTCACATTCTGTGGGATATCAAAAGTTTTAGATGGATCACCCTGTTCATTGCGCTTTCTCTTGGCTACTTGGACCATGTTATGATCTATCAACTCTGTCAAATACCTTTCTGCAACGAGCTCTGGGGGCACTTCGTCATCTTCTGCTTGATGAATTAGACTCTCGGCAACCCACAAAACAACCAACCTTCTGACAGGGATCCCAAATTCAGCAGGGAATAGCACAAAGTAAAATAGACATCTTCTTATATAATAAGGTAAGTTTGTATTAATTGTGTCTAGCGTTTCAGACCAACATTGTATTTGATTTTCATTGAGCTGCTGCCCTCCTAGCACGCTTAACCATTCCTCATGTGTAACATCTTTATGTGAAAGCAAATCACTTATTTTCAGTATTTGTGATGGCAGTCCCCCACATTTCATCAAAATTTCTTTTCCAACCTTGATAAGTTATGTTTCTGACTTGGGGACCTTCAAATGTCTTGTGAACAACAGCCAACTAGTTTCATCATCTAATAACTGTAATGGGTGAAGAATGATTCTACCTGCTGCATGTTGGGCTACTGTTGCATTGCGAGTAGTAAAAAGAACTCTGCTTCCTGTTAACATATCAGGTATGACCCTGTTCAAGGTATCCAAGTATACTTTGGATGTTTCTTTAAGGCCATCAACAACTATAAGGTACTTTGAGTGTGCCAAGGTTATGAGTACGTAATCAGTGGGCACGTTTTCTTCTTCTACTGTAATTTTCTTGGCGGTCTCCTTGCCAATTTCTGCAACAAACTGGTCTGTCGTACAATTTGAAGGCAGTGACACCCATACGCGACGCTGAAAAATGAGCTACAACAGTGTTGTCTTCAAATATCAAATTGGCTAATGTTGTCTTACCCGTGCCTCCGACTCCAACAATCCAAGTAATGCAGCGGCATTTCTCATCCGACAGTAACTCCGTCATCATAACTTGTGTGTCATCATCAAATCCAACCACACTGGATTTCTTGGCAGCGAGATACGGTTGTATCCGTGCACGTAATATTTGAATCTTAGATACGACTCGGCTTTGGATTTGCACTAAACCATACGCTTTTCTTCTCCTAAAAGCATCTTCAATTTTGTTTCCGATACCATCTATCTTCTTACTAACAACATGTCGAATCCAGTACTTACAAATGTAGATGAGAATTGGCTTATGATTCAATTTGGCATTATATTTGTTAAGGACAAATTGAGCTTAAAGGGAAATACCTCTTAGTTGCTCCACCCAAATTCTGGATCTTCCATCTAGTTTTCCCATTCCATTTGCATCCAGAAGCAATGCGTCCGTTAATTCCTTTTCCCCTCTAATTAATTGGACCTTCATTTTGTGCCCCATGACTGGCTGATACGAGGAGGAGGCAGCTGCGGCTGGCACAACATCCGAACTTTCATCGTGTTCAACAATGATTTCATCCTCAATATCTCTCTCTTGAATGCTGCTAATTGGGGTTAATAATGGTGTGAGATAACCTTTGAAAATAACAACTTGAATCATGAAGAGATTCTTGACCATGTACTTTAATCTCAACTTATATTCATGTGCCATCTTCCTCCGCAAGAATTTATGAAATAAACCTTCGGGCATGCTATTTCCTTTTTTTATCAAGTTGAACCTTAATCCATGTTTGAAACCAAAGTTCTTGCACAAATATCCAAACAATAGCTTGTACCAATTATTCGCAATACCTTGGCCGTCAAGCAACCAAATTTACCATACAAAATATCTTAAATCATGACGTACCCAATCCTAGTTGATTAACTTAAGGATAGATGAACTTAATGCAACAATGACATAGTCAACAACCTGTAATGCAAGCATCATATGCATCCTGGATTGATAACAGATCTTGATCCTTTAGAGAAGATCTTAATACACCCCTAGTATTGACAAAACCTTGACCAAATGACAAGCACAACGATAGAATGAGGTGCTTTGAATCATGTACGCGAGATCACAACCTTATGTTATTGACAAGAATACCCTGCAACTTATTGTTCAACAGAAGATAATAACCTTGTAGCTTGATGGAGAAGAAATCCAAAAAAGAGAATGAACCAAAAACCCTAATTCCACAGCTTGCTGCCTGAATAAGAAATCATCCCTTATTGGATACGAGCGCCTTAACCACTGGGAAACCCTAATGTCGCACAACCACTGGACTTTGAACCTCAGAGCTATTTATTTTTATGAAAAATGCGTGCTATGCAAATGACCCATTGGAATGATGCAGGTGAATGCAAAAAGTCCAAACCAAATAAAAGAGATTAGGAGGGCAAATTTTGGGGTGCAACAGCTGCCCCTATTTAATCACCTTCAACCTGAAGGTGAGATTGGCGCCAGCCTTTCGAACTTTCAAGGTGGAAGAAGATTAAATACTTAAAAGAACCCGAAAATTTGCGCTCCGGAGTCAGTCAGGTATTATTATTTTTGGTCTTTCTGTATCTTCTGTATATATTTTTTTTGGTAAAAAGGATTATCAGGGTTAGATGTATGTTTAACCAGAGTTTTACACACCGAAGGATAACTTGGTTATCGAGGAACTCTTATTGGGGTTTAGTAACAAACACCTGTAAGAAAGATATCAAAAGGTATATGCCTGAAGTCTGTAGCAGACATACGAAAAGAAGTATCAGAGACACATATCCGGGGTTGGTAGCAGATATACAAGAAAGAGACATCAAAAATACATATCCGTGGTCGGTATCGGACACGTAAGAAAGAGATAGAAAAGATACATATCCGTGGTCGGTATCGGATACGCACAAAAGAGACATCAAAGATACAAGAACATATGTCTGGGGTTAGTAGCAGACATATGAAGCAAGTATCAAAAATACATATCCGTGGTCGGTATCAGATACGTACAAAAGAGATATCAAAGATACATATCCGTGGTCGGTATCGGATACGCACAAAAGAGACATCAAAGATACATATCCGTGGTCGGTATCGGATACGCACAAAAGAGACATCAAAGATACATATCCGTGGTCGGTATCGGATACGCACAAAAGAGACATCAAAGATACATATCCGTGGTCGGTATCGGATACGCACAAAAGAGACATCAAAGATACATATCCGTGGTCGGTATCGGATACGCACAAAAGAGACATCAAAGATACATATCCGTGGTCGGTATCGGATACATACAACAGGGACATCAAAAATACATATCCGTGGTCGGTATCGGACATGTAAGAAAGCGACATCAAAGATACAAGAATATATGTTTGGGGTTGGTAGCAGACATATAAAACAAGTATCAAAAATACATATCTGTGGTCGGTATCGGATACGTATGACAGAGACATCAAAGATACAAGAATATATGTCTGGGGTTGGTAGCAGACATATAAAACAAGTATCAAAAATACATATCCGTGGTCGGTATCGGATACGTATGACAGAGACATCAAAGATACAAGAATATATGTCTGGGGTTGGTAGCAGACATATAAAACAAGTATACAAAAATACATATCCGTGGTCGGTATCGGATACGTAAGAAAGACACAGACCGAAGAAAGCTCTTACAAAGAAAACACCAATCGAAGGTGAACTCTGCAAGAGAAAGGGACCGGTCAAAGCAGACTTTAACAAAGAAAAACATGTTAGGCTTTCGATAGGCTACAAATACGCAAGAAGTAAAAAAATCCCCCAGACCAAAGGCGGGATGTTTAATTCTTCAAGAGTGGCAATTGTCAGAATTACCACACACCAAGTATGGATACTCAAACACTCGAAAAGCAAGAAAGGTTATAAGCCAACTCTTACTCATACTCTAACGAAAAAGCAAACGCGGGTAAAATAACCGAAGGCTTGCAAAGAAAAGCGCAAACCACAAACTTACTGGGGAAATGGAGAAATACCAAAGACTCGACTGGTGGTGAATCCAAACAAACTCTGCTGGGGAAACATAATAGAATTACCCTAGGCTTCTTATGGAGATAAATCAAATCTGAGCGCATAACAATCTGGTTGCCACGAGTGGACACAATTGGCTTACTCATGCATGTTTGAATTTTTTTTTTAGCGTAATGCTCCATACAATAGAAATGCTACGCGTTTTAGTAGATGCAATGTAATGATGCAAGTTTAGTAATGCATTATGAAAACATATCAATAATCGGCTGCTGAGAAGTCAGTGAACTTTCGAACGATTGTTCTTGCACATCTGATTTTTTTGTAGAGAAAAAGCAATTTGTACTTCAATGGGGAACCGAGATTTGAAATCATCAATGTTTAAACGATTGATCTCACTGGGGAAGTAACTTCTTGGGGAGAATACTACAAAAATGAAATTGTAGTTCAGAGAAAACTTGAATTCTGATCAAACTCCCTACTTCACGGGGAATGAATTTCTTATCCTCTGTTGGAAAGAGGAAAGCTTTACTAGGAACGGAAATTTCTGGCATAAAAATTCTTGATGAAGATAACTTCCGTTGGGGAGTATATAATTTCTTAAATAAAAAGAATTCTACTCAGGCCGCACTGGGGATAACATTGTTGGGAGGTGAAAGATCCTCACCTGGGGAAGAAACAACATCCCGGGACCAAAACTCCATTGGGGATATCGCAACAGAAACTTCTACCACTTGTAACGAAAGAGTTATGACTTGAATTCTCCTATACACCTCACCAGAGAGAAAGGAAACTTGCTCCATTAGGGAAAAAAGAATAGTTCCACTGGGGAAATTGGATCTCATTATACGAACATCCTCACGTTAGTCACATACAGACCCTTCTTGATTCATTTGCTGGTATGCATCTTGTCATGCAAGACCAACAAGTATTTGCAAAACAGAAATTGGGGCGACATGCCCCTGTTTGGAATGGAAAACCTTACCGAAGAATAGGCAATTTGAATTATCAATTACCGGGTAAAAACCGTGGTGCAAGATTGCAACTTCAATACGCCGACTCCGAGGAGAAATGCCACTAAAAAAATGGACTTTAGAGGAGATGCTGCAAAAATAAATTGCAGTCTAATGAAAAAGGGGTCAACCAGACTTTAAACAACTTCTATATTTCCAGGGAGAAAGAACATTCTTCTTCCACAGAGAAATCAAGATGCTTCACTGGGGAGAAAATGTCTCAAAAGAGGAACCCCTTGGTAGATAGGTCTATGTCAAGTAGCAACAAGTCTTTTACTGGGAGGAGGCGTCCCCTTAGGAAGCAATATTCCCATCGCATCTTGTACGTGTAAACAAACTTCAAATGATCTTTGTGTTACAGCTCAAATCTTACTGAGGATAACAATCCAAACTTCAACTGGGGATAATAACCGTGAAAAATGGATAAAGGATATTAGTAAGTGGACTTGAGTTTTTGATAAGTCGAAGATAACAATCTTGACTTCTCGGCATGATTTTCACATTCATAGGTCATTTAGCCTGTACATGGACTTGGTCTGGTCAACCACTAGAAAAGAGAGAAATCTCTTACATAAATTCCTGCCCCAGTTTGTAAGGCTTTTGCAGAAAAATTGCCTCGAGAGGACTTTTTGAGATTTATACCACCAAGATAAACTGCCCCAGTGTTGTGAACTTCAGAATACTGCCCATGGCTGACCAAAGTTGGAAATAACTTCAACCATGCTTGATTGAATTCTCGTGCATCTCTGAATTCTGAAAAGATTCTCCCTTAATCAAAAAAATTCTTAGAGAGATTTATCAAATCTCGACATAACTTCCCCAGTGCTATGAACTTTGGAACATGATGTTCAGATAACCAAAATTGGAGAGGATTCCGACTATGCTTGAGCGAGTGCTCATACACCTTCAAATTCTGGGAAGATTCTCCACTGATCAATGCATTCTTAGAGAGATTTGTCAAATCTTGATGTAACTGCCCCAGTTTGACTTCCCTTTGAGGGATGAAATCCCGATTTGAATGCCTCAGATTGGCTGAATACCTACTCGACGGAATATTCTACACACCTGCCCTTTGCTTAACAGAATCTCAACAAATCTTTTCTTTGCCTCATGCTTGCGGAGGGATGAGAAACTTGAGGATTTTTCGAAGACAACATAACCTTAGAGTGGTTGGCTTGTATCTTGAAAGTAGGCTAACCATACCTCTCGATTTGAACTGCTTCAAACTCTAATCATCCACTTGACGAAATTTACCCCTCGGGACCAACTGAAAGTAATGCTTTATTGCTTGACAGAGACTTTGGGCGACCAACTTTTACAATCTACTTCAGATCATTTCTCAGACTGGTATTCTTTTACTCAGTGGAGTCAATATGAGATTTGCCCCAGATTAAGACCATTCCCACAAATGATTTACCTTTAAACGGTGTCCTGAAGCAATTTGTCCTTTGAGATAATTAAATTCTCATTTGATGCTCATTATGCAAACTTACTCGATATTTAAGCACTTACTCATATGCAAAGAAAGTTTATTATAAGAATGATAATTGTAATGCAAAGCTCATGTTTGTCTTGAAGTTAAAATATTTATATAAAAAATATTTTGAAACATCAAAAATTTGTACAAAAGATAGTAAAAGGATAGAGTGATACCAACTCAAAAGTTTT